GAAACAAAACAGACATTTGAGGAATACAGCACACACATTGAATTTGGAGCTGTGACAGAGGGAGGAGGAAGCTGAGTAATTGTCCTCTGCCTCTGATCTGAATTCTTGGCTCAAGTTCTACCTCTGAGGCATATTTACATACTGTGTATACTGTCAGCTTTGCTTCATATAGAGAATGCACATAAAGACAAGAAATCATCTCCTAATTGATGTTAAGTGATGACTAATTAAGTTCCTGCGAAATTTCAAATTGGCAAAGCGAGAGTCAGTATTTGGCCTATTGTTCCCATTTCATAGGGTGATTTCATAGAGAAGGGAATAAATAATTATGCACTGGGTCCCACAAGTTGAAATAAACAGCAGGTTAAGAATTTCACCACCAGGCAGAGTGAGGGAACTAGGCAGGTAGTGCAGGAATCAGCTGTGGCCATTCCCCTGAAAAACAGATATACTACTTTGGACACTATTAAGGGGAATGGTCTCCCAGGGAAAAGCAGAAACAGCCAAATTTGGGGCACTGCGGTTGGCTTTGCCGAAAGGGGCAGAGCAAAAAGTTTCTAAATGCAATAGTCATACAGGATTCAATTATTAGGCAGGGGTAAAAGGTAAGGTGATGGCCTAGTGGTGTTATCGCCGAACTGTTAATCCAAACGCCCAGATAATGTTCTGGGGACCTGGGTTCGAATCCTGCCAGGGCAGATGGTGGAATTTGAATTCAATAAAATATCTGGAATTAAGAGTCTAACAATGACCATGAATCAGTTGTCAGGAAAAACCCATCTGGTTCACTAATGTCCTTTAAGGAAGGAAACTGCCATCCTTACCTGGTCTGGCCTACATGTGACTCCAGACCTACTGCAATGTGGTTGACTCTGAACTACCCTCTGGGCAATTAGGGATGGGCAATAAATGTTGCCTAGCCAGAGACGCCCTCATCCCGTTAATGAATTTTTAAAAAACCTGTGATTGCATGGGAAGTTGCCGTGGGTATATGGAGAGCTGTTCTGAGTGGAGCAGGAGTGGACCAATGTGCCCCAGGGGGAACAGTCCCTGTAGAAGTCTGATACAGGAGGGAAGGGAATATGTGTCTTGTGGTGGCACCCTACTGGAGGTGGCAGAAATGGTGGCTAATGATCCTTTGGATGTGGATGCCGGCGGGATGTTAAGTGAAGACCAAGGGGAGCCTATCGTTGTCATGGGAGGGAAGCGAGGGGGTGGGAGCAAAAATGCAGGAGATGGGTCGGACGCGGCTGAGGTCCCTGTCATCCTCGGAGGTGGTGGGGCATCCTCGGAGGAGGAAATGTAGGAATAGATCGATCTGAATGTTAGACAGTGACTAGTCGGGTACCACAGGGACCAGTACTAGGACCCCAGCTATTCACAATATATGTTAATGATTGAGATGAGGAATTAAATGACATTTCTCAAAATTTCAAGGTACTGTAGGCAGTAAGGAAGTCAAATTGTATGTTGCCCTCCGTAACAAGAGGCTTCGAGTACAGGAACAAGGAAGTCTTGCAGCAATTATACAGGGCATTGGTGAGACCAAACCCAGAATATTGTGTGCAGTTTTGGTCTCCTTACCTAAGGAAGAATGGTCTTACTATAGGGGGAGTGCAGTGAAGGTTTACTGAATTGATTCCTGGGATGGCAGGAGTGATGTATGAGGAGAGATTGAGTCAGTGAGGCTTGTATTCACTGGAACAAAAACAGAAGTTGCTGGAAGAGCTCAGCAGCATCTGTGAAGGAACTGCCAGACCTGCTGAGCTTTTCCAGCAACTCCTGTTTTTGTTCCTGATTTACAGCATCCGCAGTTCTTTTGGTTTTTATTTTGTATTCACTGGAGTTTAGAAGAATGGGAGCGGACTTATAGAAAAATATACATAAAATTCTAAAAGGACTAGACAGGTTAGTTGTAGGAACGATATCCCTGATGGTAGGGGAGTCCAGAACAGGGGTCATAGTTTAAGAATAAAAGATAAACCTCTTAGGACTGAGATGAAGAGAAATTTCTTCACCCAGAGAGTGGGCAGCCTGTGGAATTACCTATCACAGAAAGTGGTTGTGGCCAAACATTGTGTGTTTCCAAGAAGGAGACATATATAGCTCTTGTGACAAAGGGGATCAAAGGATATGGGAGGGGAAGGAAGGATTAGGGTATTGAGCTCAATGATCATACTGAAGGATGGAGCAGGCTTGAGGGGTTGGATAGCTTACTCCTGCTCCTATGTTCTATGTTTCTCTGATAAGTAGATGATGCAAGACTGTGTGAATAACTTTAAGGCTGTAGACAAAACAAACATAGCCCTGTGTTCCTCCCCTCTACAGGAATCACATGTGTGCATATATAGCGAGTAACGAAGAAGGCAATTGGAATGTTGACCTTAATTGTAAGATGGACGGAGTATAGAGGTAATGATGACTTGCGACAATTGTACAGGCTGCAAGAATATTGTCTACAGATTTGGTCTCCTTACTGAAGAAGGGATATATTTGCATTGGAAATAATTCAGAGAAGATTCAACAGGTGAATGAATGATTTGAATGAATTTCGTTTTAATGTCATGTGCATTTTACAGTGAGAAAAGCAGTAAAATAGAGTGAAAAGGTTTTCCACTGTTGCCATGATCTGGTGCCATTTTGAATAGTGGTTAAAGGGATTCATAGATTCATAGAATGATGTCTTATGAGGAAAAGTAAGGCAGGATGGATCTATGCTCAGTGAGAAAGCTAAAGCTCTGAAGGACCTTGACAGGGTGGGTACTGAGAAGGTGTTTCCTCTTGTACGGGAGTCTAGAGCTATGAGACACTGTTTAAACACAAGGAGATTCCCATTTAAGATGAATTTCTCTCTCAGACTGTTAACCTTTGGAATTCTCCTCTATAGAACAGTGGAGCTAAGTCATTGAATATATTCAAGACTGGGTTACACCGATTTTTGATAGACAAGGGAATCAAGAAATAAGGGGACAGGCAGGACACAATCTTATCAAATGGTGGAGCAGACTTAATGAGCTAAATGACCTATACATGCTCCTATTTATTATATTTTTTATTTCTCGGGGAAGAGTCATAAAGTCATAGAGTCGTAAAGCACAGAAACAGACCCTTCCGTCCAACCAGTCCATGCCGACTATAGTCCCAAACTAGTCCCACCTGCCTGCACTTGGCCCATATCCCTCCAAACACTTATTTATGTACTTATCCAAATGTCTGTTAACCGATGTAACTGTACCCGCATCCACCACTTCCTCCAGAAACTCATTCCATGCGTGAATCACTCTCTGTGTGAAAAAAAAGTGCCCCTCATGTCTTTTTAAAATCTTTTTCCTCTCACCTTAAAACTATGCCCCCTAGTCTTGAAATTCCCCCCTAGGGAAAAGACACTTGCCATTCATCTTATTTATACCCCTCATGATTTTATAAACCTCTATAAGGTCACCCCTTAACCTCCTACGCTCCAGTCAAATAAGTCCCAGTCTATCCAGCCTCTCCTTATAACTTCCATACCTGGCAACATCCTGGTAAATCTTTTCTGAACTCTCTCCAGCTTAGTAAAATCCTTCCTATAACTGCGCGACCAGAGAGCTTTGTTAAGAGAAAGAAAGCTCTCCATGTATTTCACACTTTTCACAAACACTGGATGCCTCAAAGAGCTTTTTAACCAATGACATACTTTTGCAGTGTAGTAATGTTATACTGTAGAAAATGTGGCAGCCAATTTGTGAACAGCAAGCTCCCACAAGTTGCAATGTGTTATAAGACCATTCTGTCTGTTGTTCCAAGATTGATTAGGCAATAAATATTAGATGGAATATTGGGTATAACTCTCCTGCTAGTCTTCAAAATAGTGGCAATGGGAACTTTTATGTCCATCTGAGGGAGCTGATGGGACCTTGGTTTTACATCTCAGCTTAAATACAATACCTATGCTTTACACAGGATAGAGATTAGACCAGAGGTTGAATACTGCACTCAGTTCTGGTCTCCATATAGGCACTGGAGAAAGTGCCAAAAAAAATGGACTTGCAAGCGTGACATCAGAATTGTGAGGTAACTCCCATCAGGAAAGTCTAAATTGGCAGGGCTCTTTCCTCTAGAAAGGAGAATTCTGAGGAATGACCTAACTATAATGGGGTTTGATAGAGAAAAGGAAGATGGGGGGAAATCAAAATTAGAGGGCCATAAATACAAGCCAGTGTCTAATATATCCAATATCAAATTCAGGAGAAATATCTTTACACAGAGTTTTTTTTTATTCATTCACAGGATGAGGGTTGTCACTGGCCAGGCAGCATTTATTGACCATCAGTTCAGAGTCAACCACATTGCTGTGGGTCTGGAGTCACATGTAGGCCAGACCAGGTAAGGATGGTAGTTTCTAATTAAGGACATCAGTGAACCAGATGGGTTTTCGCCCCAACAATCGACAATGGATTCACAGTCATCATTAGATTCTTAATTACAGATGTTTATTGAATTCATGGCAGGATTCGAACCCAGGTTCCCAGAACGTTATCTGGGTCTCTGGATTAACAGTCCAGCGATAATACCACTAGGCTATCACCCCTCCAGTGGTGAGAATGTGGAACTCACCATCACGAGGAGTAAGTGTGATGAATCAAACAGGGTACATTTAGAATGAAACTAGATAAACAAATGAGGGGAAAAGGAACAGGAGGTTATGTTGATGGATTGGGAGGAAGATCATGTGGATACTGAACAACAGCCTGCACCTTCTGGGCCAAATGGCCTGTTTTTCTATGTTCAGCAAGGAGCTTGATGACACAGTGGTATAATTACAGCTTAGGTTGTGGTTATGTTTAAAAACATTGGCAGCACAAATTTCTGTCACTCTTTCAGTGATGGATGTCAACATAAGAATCTGTAAAAGCGGTTATTTTAGGAACCCACCTAGCTGTGATATCAATCAGTAAGCAACACTGTCCATTGAAATTGACAGCATGTTGTGGGAATGAGTGAATTGATGGATTACTTACAAGTAAAGCAAAGTGTAACACAACCCATATTACACCAAGTGATGTCACTAACAGGTCATAACGGTTCCGTCTACTTTGCCAGAAACCAGATGGTGACATGGCCGTGATCTTCATAGTTACCTGAAACAAACAGAAAAGATCATCCTGTTCAAACACACATTTTTTGGGACTATTGTTCAGCTCAGAAACCTCTTTACAAAGTTCACTTAAGATATACAGCTCAGAAACAGACCACTCAGCCCAGCTGATTGATGTTGGCGTTTATGCTCCATATAAGCCTACAGCCAGCCCTCTTCATTTCACTCTCAACTTATCCTATCCTGTTCAACTATTCCTTTCTCCTCTTGGCTTCTCTGAAATATATTCCCCTCAACCATTCCTTGTGATCCTTGCTCTCTAGGACGGACAAGACATGTCTTCCTAAATTCCCTATTGGATTTAATAGCAACAATCTTTCGGATTCTCCGAGAGAGTGGACTTAAGGCACCAACCAACCCATAAAGAAATGGTACCGATGCATCTAACTGGATTTTTACACTTGACAAGTATGTGACATCATTGTGCAAGTGATAGAAATAATCATTAACGCAGATTATTAATATCGGCTTGGTTCGTTTATTTGAAAGGCAGATCTGAACCACTACTTTAGTGAGAACTCAGGTTGTGCCTGGGACAGTTGAGCCTATCTCTGGAGTGCAAGAGTTTAGCAAGGGATAAGAAACTAAAGTAAGTGAGTTCACCAGGTTGCAGATCTTTACTGAATTTAATCAGGAAAATCAATATTGAAGGACATGTCTCGAATATTGAGATTGTTTATAAGTCCTGATAGAGTACAGGACCACGTTATTTTATTCCTTTACATCAGTCAGTGCAATAAATCCCCAATTGCTTGCCTTTTCAAATTGTGTGATGAAAATCTGCCATCTATCATTGTCCATCTGTCAACAATCAAGAAACTTCTAATCGAAAATGGTGCAAAATTTCAGTCTCTTGTGATTGTGATAAGGTGTTCAAGCCTTTATCTTTTGGTTTATGACATAATCTCAGCTCTTCTTACGGTTTATTATCTTGATACACTCTGGGGTATATATGCTGCAATTTATGGTGAAATGTAATTGCACATCATTTTTCCTTTCATTTTTTTTCACTGTGTGTTTTCATCCATTTAAACGATATTGCAAATTTCCATTTCTGGAATTTTTCTTGCTTGGGTTTTGCCTGTGGTGATGACAACAAAACTATCAGCACTCACTCTCATTACTCCTCTGAAATCGACAGCAGGTTTTGAGGCTGTACATGTGCAGAACGGTGGGGAAACATGGATGTTATTGTCAGTAATTTCACACTTTTCCAGAGGGTCCACTGTCGAAGAAACTCCATGCAACAATTAGTGGGAAATCAATTAAATTGACAAGAGTGTTTCCTCATTACTTTGTTAGTCTCATTATAAAAAACCTTCGAAAAAGTAGTACCTTGTTGAGTGTGTAACTGCATTTTTAAGCAGTGTATTAACTTCATAATTACTTTTAAACACTCCAGCTGGCTCCAAAAATCTATTTTTTACATTTATGTAATGCTAACTATTTTCAAAATGACAAGAAAAGTCACATCTGGGAAGGCAGTGGCCTATTGGTATTATCACTAGACTATTAATCCAGAGACTCAGATAATGCTTTGGGGACCCAGGTTAAAATCCTGCCAGGGCAGATGGAGGAATGCGAATTCAATTAAAAATAAATCTGGAATTAAGAATCTACTGATGACCGGTTGTCGATTGTCATTAAAAATCCATCTGATTCACTAATGTCCTTTAGGGAAGGAAATCTGCCATCCTCGCCTGGTCTGGACTACATGTGACTCCAGACAGATAGCACTGTGGTTGACCTCATTTGACCTCTGAAATGGCCTAGCAAGCCACTCAGTTGTACCAATTGCTACAAGATCTCAAAGAAATGAAACCGGATGGATCACCTGGCATCTGCCTAGGCACCGGAAAAGACAATGGCAGAAACAGCCCTGTAGACCGTGCAAACACTTCCCCACTAATATCTGGGAGCTAGTGCCAAAATTGGGAGAGCTGACTCCCAGACTAGTCAAGCAACAGTCTGACATAGTCATACTCACAGAATCATACCTTACAGACAATGTCCCAGACACCACCATCACCATCCCTGGGTATGTCCTGTCTCACCGACAACACAGACCCAGTAGAGGTGGCAGCACAGTGGTATAGAGTCAGGAGGGTGTTGCCCTGGGAGTCCTCAACATTGACTCTGGACCCCATGAAGTCTCATGGCTTCAGGTTAAACATGGGCAAGGAAACCTCCTGCTGATTACAACATACTGTCCTCCCTCAGCCATACTCCTCCATGTTGAACAACACTTGGAGGAAGCACAAAATGTACTCTGGGTGGGGGATTTCAATGTCCACTACCAAAAGTGGCTAGGCAGCAGTACTACTGATCGAGCTGGTTGGGTCCTCAAGGACATAGTTGCTGTACTGGGTCTGGGGCAGGTGGTGAGGGAACCAACAAGAGGGCAAAGCATACTTAACCTCATCCTTACTGATCTGCCAGCTGCAGCTGTATTAGTAGGAACGACCAAAGCACAGTCCTTGTGGAGATGAAGCCCCGCCTTCACACTGAGAATAACCTCCATCATGTTGTGTGGTACCATCATCGTGCTAAATAGGACAGACTTCGAACAGATCTAGCAACTCAAGACTGGGCATCCATGAGGCGCTGTGGGTCATCAACAGCAGCAGAATTGTGCTCCAACACAATCTGTAACCTCATGGCCCGGCATATCCCCCATTCAACCATTACCATCAAGTCAGGGGATCAACCCTGGTTCAATGGAGAGTGCAGGAGGGCATGCCAGGAGCAGCACCAGACATACCTGTAGATGAGGTATCAACCTGATGAAGCCACCAAACAGGATTACTTGCACACCAAACAGCATAAGCAGCAAATGATAGACAGAGCTAAGTGATCCCACAATCAACGGATCAGACCAAAGCTCTGCAGTCCTGTCACATCCAGTCATGAATAGTGGTGGACAATTAAACAACTCACTGGAGGAGGAGACTCCACAAATATCCCCATCCTCAATAATGGAAGAGCCCAGCATGTCAGTGCAAAAGATAAGGCTGAAGCTTTCGCAGCAATCTTCAGCCAGAAGTGCTGAGTGGATGATCCATCTCGGCCTCCTCCAGTGGTCCCCAGCATTACAGATACCAGTCTCCAGCCAATTCGATTCACTCCACGTGACATCAAGAAACAGTGGAGGCACTGTACACTGTTACGATCCCTGACAATATTCTGGCAATAGTACTGAAGACTTGTGATCCAGAACTTGCTGCTCCCCTCGCCAAGCTGTTCCAATACAGTTACAACACTGGTATCTACCTGACAATGTGGAAAATTACCCAAATATGTCTGGTACATAAAAAGCAGGACAAATCCAAACCAGCCAAACACCTCGCCATCAATCTACAGTCAATCATCAGTAAAGTGATGGAAGGTGTCATCAACAGTGCTATCAAGCAGCACCTGCTCAGCAATAACCTGCTCAGTGACGCCCAGAATTGGGTTCCGCCAGGGCCACGCAGCTCCTGATCTCATTACAGCCTTGGTACAAACATGGTCAGAAGAGCTGAATTCCAGAGGTGAGGTGAGAGTGATAGCCCTTGACATCAAGGCTGCAGTCGACCAAGTATGGCATCAAGGAGCCCTAGAAAAACTGGAATCAGTGGGTATCGGGGGCAAACTCTCTGGTGATTAGATTGATACCTGACACATAGGAAGATGGTCGTGGTTGTTGGGCATCAGTCATCTCAGCTCCAGGACATCTCTGCAGGAGCTCTTCAAGGTAGTGTTCTAGGCCCAACCATCTTCAGCTGTTTTATCAATGACCTTCCCTTCATCGTAAGGTCAGAAGTGGGGATGTTCGACGATGATTGCGCAATGTTCAGCACCATTCGCGACTCCTCAGATGCGAAAGCAGTCCATGTTCAAATACAACAAGATCTGGACAATATCCAGACTTGGGCTGACAAGTGGCATGTGACATTCGTGCCAAACAAATGCCAGGCTATGACCATCACCAATAAGAGACAATCCAACCACCGCCTCTTAACATTCAATGTCATTACCGTTACTGAACCCCTCACTATCAACATCCTGGGAGTTATCATTGATCAGAAATTCAACTGGACTCCCACATAAATGCCTTGGCTACAACAACAGGCCAGAAGCTAGGAATACTGCGGCGAGGAACTCACCTCCTGACTCCCGAAAGCCCATCTACCATCTACAAGTCACAAGTCAGGGGTGTGATGGAATACTCCCCACTTGCCTGGATGACTGCAGCCCCAACAACAGTCAAGAAGCTTTGACACCATCCAGGATAAAGCTGCCCGCTTGATTGACACCACATCCACACGTAGCCACTCCCTCCACCACCGACGCTCAGTAGCAGCAGTGTGTACTATCCACAAGATGGACTGCACAAATTCACCGAAGATCCTCAGGCAGCACCTTCCAAACCCACAACCACTTCCATCTAGAAGGCCAAGGGCAGCAGAAATGTGGGAACACCGCCACCTGAAAGTTCCCCTCCAAGCCACTCACCATTCTGACTTGGAAATATATTGCTGCTCCTTCATTGTCACTGGGTCCAAATCCTGGAATTCTCTCCCTAATGGTATTGTGGGTCAACCCACAGCAGGTGGTCTGCAGCGGCTCAAAAAGGCAGCTCACCACCACCTTCTCAAAGGCAACAAGGGATGGGCAGGAAATGCTGGCCCAGCCAGTGACACCCCCATCCCACAAAATTTTTAAATTCAAAAAAGATTTTTAAAAATTAAAAAACTTTGTAAAAATCTCTATCTTTGGTTTCTATTTTAATCAAACATAACTACTTATTTTACTACCTGAAACTCTAAATTAAAAGTGAAGGCTATTGAGTGTTTTTAACATCCTGCTTTTCTGTCTGTGCAAATGCTTCAATGTGATTGGCTACCTAGTTTCAATAGCTGTTAAGCTGGTAAGCACAGCAGGTCAGACAGCATCCGAGGAGCAGGGATGTCAACGTTTTGGGCTGAAAGCCTTTGTCAGGAAATGCTGACGTTCCTGCTCCTCTGATGCTGTCTGACCTGTTGTGCTTTTCCAGCTTCACATCTATTGATTCTGGCTTCCAGCATCTGCAGTCCCTTACTGTCTCCAAGTAGCTACCTAGTTTGTTTCTAGACATCACGTGCCTAGACACCAGGGAAGGGGAGATCCATACCAAAGAGATCATTAGATCTTTGTAGGTATCATTCTTCAAAGCCACTAATAAATACTATTGCTTTTTTGCGGAATGTAAAATCCTGAATAATATTGCTAACTGCCTGAGCTTCAATCATTAACTGGATACTGCAATCTGGTAAGAATAATTTCCTGTCTCTGTATTTGGTCTGCAATTAGGACACTTCTTCTCCAGCAGCTCAAATTGGAAACTCAGTAGTACATTTTCTAATCACTCATTAAAGGTTGAAAAATTGGCACAACAGCCTTCTAAATTTTCAGGATGCACTTCCAATGAAACTCCCCCACTGGAAGGATATTATTAAGCTAGAGAGGGTTCAGAAGAGACTTACCAGGATGTTGCCAGGGAAGGAAAGGTTTGAGTTATAAAGAAAGGCTGGATAGGCTGGGACTTTTTTTCACTGGAACATAGGAGATTAAGAGGTGACCATATACTTGTTTATAAAATCATGAGGGGTATAGCTAGGATTACTGGTAGGTGTCCTTTCATTGCAACGTGGCATTTCAAGACTAGGAGGCATACCTTTAAGGTGCGAGGAGAGAGATTTAAAAAAGACAAAGTTTTACATAGTTCATGTGTGGAATGAACTTGCTGGGGAAATGGCAGATGCAGGCACAGTTACAACGTTTAAAAGACACTTAGATAAATACATGAATAGGAAAGGTTTGGAGAGATATGGGCCAGGGCGTGGTAGGTGGGCCTAGTTTAGTCTGAGATTATGTTTGGCATGGACTGGTTGGACCTAAGGCTCTGTTTCTGTGCTGTATAACTTAATGACTCAATGAATGGTTTATGTTTATCAGTTTACACTTATATATACTCATGTTAAAGTTTCCCCTAAACGTTTCCCCTCTCACCTTGAACCTGTGCCCTCTTATAGTTGACATTTCTATCTTGGGAATAAGCCTCTGACTATCCATCCTATCTATGAATCTCACAATTTTGTTAACCTCTATCAACTCGCCCCTCAGCCTCTGTCTTTCCAGTGAAAGCAATCTGAGTTTGTCCAACTGAGTTAACCATAATTAAAACCCTCCAGACCAGGAGGCAACTTCCTGTAGGCCCCAGTCTACATGCCGGTTGTTTTCATTTACCAAAATCTGAACTGGGCATATCATATAAATAATGTGCTTACAAAATCAGAACCAAGTCTGGGAATTCTGCAGTAACTAACTCACTTACTGGTACACAAGAATTGAAGAAGGTCATTCATCCACTTGGGGCTGTTTCGCCATTCAGGGAGATCATAGCTGTTCTGTATCTTAACTTCACCTTTCCATGTTAGTTCTGTAATTGTTAATCCACAAAAATCTACCGATTTCAGTTCTTTAATTTTCAACTGACCCTCAGCCTTAGTGTCTTTTTGAGGAAGAGAGTACCAGATTTCCACTCTCCTTTGTTTGAAGAAATACTTCCTGACATCACCAGTGAATTTCTATTTATAAGGTTATGCCCATTTGTTCTAGCATTCCTCATACAGACAGAATAAATTACCTCTATCTACCTGGCCTAATCATTTATTCGTTGTAAACATCTCAATAGATGACTCTTTAATCTTCTCGCATTGAAGGAAAACAATCAGTTAAGTTCGTACTTATAATTTAACCATTTGCAGTCAGAGAATCATTTTGCATAACTGGACATAATTTGAAAGCTGACAGTGCAAAATCTTGTATCAGTCTGTTAAAAATCTAAATGGCTGTGTATTCATGAGTAGACCTACACAATTTATTATTTGGTATTAGAGTGGTTAACCTCCATATCAATACCTGCTGTTCATTAGTTTTCTTTATCTATTGGAGGCATTTCTAGATTTGGGAACCTTTCAGCCCTAGTCTCCTATTTAGTAACAAAATCTTAAGAAAGTAAGGTCAAATCATTAATGATATCTGCATTTCCTAATAACATTTTTCTTATTTTATTCTTTGCTGATTTAGAAAGAAAGTATTGGTAAATTCATAAGACTAAAAATATTCCTTCATTTTGGATAACATATTAGAAATTGGATGTTTTAAGGATGATAAATTGGACTTTATATTCCTATTAATTTATTCTGACTGCAAAATTGCTGCTGGAGGTTGATGTTGGTTTTTGTCGTTAAATTAATTCTTTGCCTGACAGCAAATGGTCCACACCCACTCACCACTCCTAAGATTGGAGATGAATTGTTTTTACATTTGGGGAGTTAATTGTATATTAATTCTGTTTAATGATGGTCTGCATTAACTGATGAAGCACTTAAATAAGTAAATAGGAACGATCTGAAACTACGGTGGTTGCATTAGGAAGTGCGTACTTGTATTGTGCTATTCTGTTAATAAATTCTTCCAAAGAAGTGTGTCGATATAGGTACCAGTTCTATCCTTCAGCACTAGGCTTCTGGGAATATAACACGGGAAGATGGACTGCACCTTCTTTGTTGGTAACTGTGACTTTGTAAGGAATGGAAGCATAGGCAAAGTCCTGGAGGGATCTTTGCAAATAACTTTCCTGCACCAGTCTTTCTTTACAGGAAAGACAGAAGGAAAAGAACAGGAAATAGATTTCAGTTTCATTCCTGCATCATTCCAGGGTACACTCTCCAATTAAACTGTACACAGGAAAATAATGTTCAGAGAAAAGTAATTTAAAAAGTAAATGCAGAACTTGGGGTCACATCAAGAGGAAAGTCATTGTACTTGGTCCTCAATGACTCCACTTCTTAAAAAGTAATTTCACATTGCAGTTACAGGCTGCCCTGATCATGACATTGTGCTATTCCCAGTACACACAGATATGTGCAATATTGAAAACCATCAGTAAAAATAATAAGTTCTATCTATTTACAAATGAATTAAGAAAATCCATCTGCGCATCTGAGAGTGTTTCATCTAAAATAAATAGGGCCATAACATTCATTCTTACAAGTGCTCCTCTACTGTAGCTATCGTCGCAGTTAAAAGAAAAAGTTCTGTCAGTAAGAAGTGACCTTGTGCATCGGTAAAAGCAAACTTCAACACTGGCAGAGAATTGAGGAAATAATGATAATGAACACTGGTATTACTCAACCAAACATCTGGCAGACAAGGGAGAAAAGGTACCAAACATAATGTTACCTCAAGGACAAAAATAAAGGTGAAAATGACGGATATTGTTGCCAGAGGAACTGTAACGGGGTTGTCAACATCCCACTGTAAGATAGAAAGAAAGCAAATTCTTAAGTGTGTATTCATTTATATTGTACAAAGGTAGCACTTAATTTTCAAGAAATGTATTTGTCCATTTGTTTGAATTTTACTGGGATGGTACCACCCCACTGGCTCAAACATCAATGAGTGGAACATACAGTCCCCACTCTAACCCTGCAGCAAGTAAATGCTGGGAGCACAGTCAATTGCTTTAAGACGTGACTTGTGTTCCTGTTTGTGGAGGAAGTCCCTCCTTAGAGAGCTGCTGGCCAATCGGAAGACAGACAGCTCGGTAGACCCAGCAGCGCCAACCCAGAGCGGTGGCCACTAATGGGACAACATGTGGAGCCACTGCATTGAGAAGATGGAGTCAGAGGTCTTGGTTGGGGGGCTAGTGGGAGCTGACAGCTTGAGGAAGCTTGGGGAGGGCTAAAGGTGAGGGGTGATGTAATGAAAGGTGTTGGGTACCACAGATTGCTATAGGTGGCATCCCCCCCGCCCTGGATTGCACAGCTAATGCTGCTGGACTTTCTACATGACACTAGCTTCCCCATGACATACTGGATGTGGCAAGATGAGGTCCTAAGGAGGCAAGTTATTGTACCAAAGATGTTGAGCCGTCTGAAGCTTCCCCTGGGTCCAATAATATTTCAGACCTATTGGGTTGGGTTAGTAGGTGCATGGGAACATGAACTCCACCCTCAAACCCACCAACAGGGAATGTAAAATCCATCCCATTGTGTCTAAATTATAAGGTGAAAAAGCCTGCATTTCTATAGTGTCTGGCACAAATGCAGGATCGTTTCAAAGGTCATTACAGCCAAGAAAGTACATACTTTTGAAATGCTGTCACTGTTGTAACATTGGAAACACAAAAGCTGACATGCGCACAACCAACTCCCAACAACAGCAACGATTGGAAAATCTGTATCCTTGTATGTTTCTTAAAGTCGCTCAAGGGATATTGGGGCATCAGGCAAGGACAGGATTTACTGCCATCCCTAATCGTCCATTGTGAAAATGGTGGGCAGCCACCTTCTTCAACTTCCTCCCTGAAAACACTGTGGGTGTACAAGAGGAGTGGCCAGTGTAATTTCAACTAAAAATTCCAGTAAGCCTGACATTGGTTGAAGAATATATGCTTTAACCCTCCAACAGCAAAGCACTCTTTCTGTGCTGCACATGGCGGCCTGAAATTTGTGCTCAGGCCTCTGGAACTGGATGTGAACCCATGGGTCACTCAGCCATCGCTAATATCAAACACAAGCTGGCCTGGCTACAAAGAACACGTTTGTTTTGCTCTATGTACTCGATGAGTTCGGACCTTGCTCTCTGGCAGCTCAAGTACACGCAGATACACAAAAGGAGTGACACAGAACTCACAGGATCATTGCTTCACAAACCCATGTCAATTTGCAAAAAGAATGACAAATGGACCTTAATGCAGACACGGTCAATTGCTGTCCTTACCTTCAATGAAAGCAGCACTGATTGGGCAAGGACGAGGACTGCAATGCTTCTCTTGAAGAATGGGTGTTGGGTTATATCATACATTTTAGCTCGGAAGCCACCATTGTCTGGAAAACAAAGCCCAATTAAAAAAAAACTTACAATAAGGCTTTTGACAAGATCTCACATGGCCAACTGGTTGAGAAGCTAAGAGCCCATGCGGTCCAGGGTAATCTTGCAAATTGGATCCATCACAAACAGATATTGCTGGAAAAGCTCAGCAGAGAAATCAGAGTTAACGTTTTGGGTTGAGCGACCCTTCCTCAGAACTGTCTGGCCTCAGTTCTGAGGAAAGGGTCATTCAACCCGAAACGTTAACTCTGATTTCTCTCCACAGATACTGCCAGACCTGCTGAACCTTTCCAGTTATTTCTGTTCTTGTTTCTGCATCTGCAGTTCTTTCGGTTTTAATATTGGATCCAAAATGGGCTGAGTGGCAGGAAGCAGAGGCCCAGTTCAGGTTTCTTCCTGCCCCAGCTTCATCTCACCTCTTCAACATTATCCTTCTATTCCTTTCTCCCTCATTTTATCTTTATGCAGCTTCTCCTTAAACATGCCCAGACTATTCATTTCAGCTGTACTCTCACCACTCTCTGTGTGAGGAAGGTTCTACTGAATGCCCTACTGGATTTCTTGGTAACTATTTTATAATGATGGCACCTAGGTTTTCTTTGTCTCACAAGTGGAAACAGAACGCTAGATTTTCTGAGGAAAGAAAATCTCTCACAGATTCCCACGCTGTCCTTCTTTATCACAAAACAAAAGAGGGCCCCATTTCTGACAAGAGATTCCCATCACGGCACTTTCAGAAATGCTGAGCCGTTCTTCCAACCTAATAGGTCACCGTTAGTACAGAACAGCCAGAGGGAGGCATATAATGTCCCTTTTTTCACAGTAATCAGTTGATGTATTCAGCATTTTGGTGGTCTGACATCACAGATAGTCACTTTGACAGCTCCTGTGAAAGGGTAAGTACGTAAGGTCATTTTGATATTAGAATGCAAAGAAGGTAGGATGCCAGGTGGGTAGGTGGTACAGTGCCAAATAGGTAAAGTGTGAGGTGGGTAGGGGATTGGGTCGCAGGGGATAGGTGCCGGGAAAGTAGGGTGATAGGTAAGTGATGGTAATTTTTGGGAAAAGTCAGGGGTGGGTGGGAGATAAAAGGTCAGGCCCAGGACAGAGGTATCAGGGTTCAGGGGGTTATTCAAGGTTTGAGGTGTGGGTGAGGGGTGTGTCATCAGGCTCTGGTCTGGGGTTGAGTGGGGGTTGGTTGAAGGAGGGGTGGGGTGTGAGTCCCAGGGTTGTGGAGGGTGGGATGAGGTTATGTCAGAGGGTGTGTATTTTTTAAATTCATTCACAGGATGTGGTCCTCGTTGGCTAGGCTGGCATTTAATGCCCATCCCTAATTGCCCAGAGGGCAGTTAAGAGTCAATCACATTGCTGTGAGTCTGGAGTCACACGTAGACCAGACCAGGTAAGGATGGCAGTTTCCTTCGCTATAGGACACTGATGAATCAGAAGGGTTTTTCTGATAATCGACAATGGATTCATGACCATCATTCAGACTCTTATTTCCAGATAGGTACTGAATTCAAATTCCACCATCTGCTTTGAACCCAGGCCCCCCAGAACATTACCTGGGTCACTGATAACAATCCAGTGATACTACCACTGGGCCTTCATGTGTGTGTGTGTGTGTGTGTGTGTGTGTGTGCGCGCGCACACGCGCTCGCATATGTGCATGCTGAGTCTAGCAATGGATGACAGAGGTTTTAGGTCCTGTGGGGGTGGGGGTGCATTGGCTTCCTAGACCCAAGCATAGAGACAGAGTATTGGGTCGTGACGGTAGTGGTGTGGGGGAGGGGTGGAGTGTGTAAGGGGTCTGTAGGAGGTGTAGATGGGGGGTTTGTAGTTTGACTGGGGGGTCAGTTGAATACTTACTCAGGAGTTAGACCAGGTATTTAATCATCTTTTCTTGAGTAACTATTTAATTAAATTCAGTTGAATCCTCCAAATTCTCCACTTTAAACATGTACTTCCAGAAGGTTTCAGACACATGAGAATTCCCAGCAGAAAATGTAGTTTCCCTGGCAAATCCTTCACAGCCTGCTAGGATGGGGATTCCACAGGATGCCTGTGTGTAATTCCCATCCGCACTGCCATTCTCTCTGCATCTATTTGATCACAAATATCCGTGATTTTAAAAGCATTGAGCAGATATCCCAACTCTCCTCACAATTGATTTTCAAGAGAAAAGTTATGTTTGTCCTTTCCTGACAGGAAAAGCATCACATATCTGGCTTCATCCTTGCAAATATATTTTTATTCCACGTCCCGAAGGCTTTTCTACTTCTTTTATAACAAGGACACCTAAGTTATCAACCATAAATTTTTAATTTCAGAAATAAGCCCACGGCCCTCATTTCACATTCAAGCAGAACTTGTCTCTTTCTTTGAAACGGTAGAGATTTGTTGAAACTATAACGTGAACACAGTTTCTGAACAATATAAGATTTACTGGCTAGTAAAAGAAAAATGGCAAAAGGAGAGGGTGAATGAATTAATCTGTACACATGGTATAATTTCCAGTTCCAAAATTGTTTCACCAGCAGGTATATCTCAATTCTACTTTTGTGACAGATAGAATCAAGCAAATCGTGTTTAGAATTCTCAGCTTCTTGTAAACACACGATAAAGTTTAAAATCCTCCTGCTACAAACTACTGAATGGCTTGTATTCAAGTCATCTCTTCCTTTAAATCTCATCATATTTCAAATGATTTATTTTTTAAAATGGATGTGGACATTGCCAACAAGGCCAGTATTTGCTGCCCATTCCTAATTGCTCTTGATCTGAATGACTGCTAAACCACTTCAGAGGGCAATTAAGAATGAACATGATTGTGGGTCTGGAGTCACCTGTAGGCCAGACCAGGTAAGGACGGCCTATTTCCTTCTCTAAAAGGGCATTAAAGAATCAGTTGGGTTTTTCTGATAATTCAGATTACTTTTCAATTCCAGAAATACGAAATGAATGTAAATTATATCAGCTGTCCTGGTAGGATTTGATCCTGTGACCTGACAGCATTAGAGGCCTCTGGACAATTGATTTTATGACATTACCACTATGCTGCCATCTCACCCTTAATTTATTTAGATACCACCAAAGTTCCATTTCATAATGCAATGGGCAGATTCTGAATATCACCAAGGGAATTGGGAATTAACTAACTAAATTAGGAATTCTCCCTAGCGGCACTGTGGGTGTATCTACACTACATGGGCTGCAGCAGTTCAAGAAGGCATCTCAAAACCACTTTTCCAGGGGGTAGTTAGGGATGAGAAATAAAAGCTGGCCTTGCAGTAATGCCCACATCAAACAAAGGAATTAAAATTAAACAATTAAAGCTAAAAATGAGTTTTGGTGGTGTTAGTATTTGAAGTGTTTACTTGGAAAGTAGGTGTAATTACATTTTCGCAGCAAACCCTAAAGGAATCAATCCATTGAAGTAGTGAGTTCAAACATAATTCTTTTTCATGCATGATATATAAATACGGTACGTAAATGACAGGAATATCTAAGAAAAGTTTATGTATTACACTGCGTAATTGCAGGCAGCTATTATTGTACCAAATTTGTAAACATCTCCCCAACAAGAAGGGCAGCACGGAGAGCAATATACAAAATTACAATCTATTGGCCCAGCTTCTGATCTGATCGGAGTTTTAATTATATGGATCTTGGTGGAGTTATGTGGCTCTTGAGTTAATATCTTCTTACATTGCCCTGTGTCAAATGTTGCTTTCTACTTATTCAGCGAAACATCTTGCGTTGTTTTACTATGAAAGTGTTATGTAAATGTAAGTTATTGCTGTATGGCGCTATATTCCGCACAACTTGCCAGAGGCATAGTGCTTCTTGAGGTGCAATAACCATGGATAAAGGAAACAACAACAACTTGTCTAATACTAGGAGGCATGCATTAAAGGAGAGAGGGAGAAGGTTCAAACGAAATATGAAGGACAGATTTTTTACACAGTGGCATGAGTCTGGAATGCGCTGCCAGGGGTGTTGGTGGAAGCAGATACAATAGGGGCATTTAAGGGACTTTTAGATAAGCACATGAATACACAAGCAATGGAGGGATATGGACCAAGGGCAGGCAGAAGGGATTAGTTTGGTGTCATGTTCGGCACAACATTGTGTGCTGAAGGGCCCATTCCTGTGCTGTACAGTTCTACATTCTAACTTAAAGTCGAAAGCATCCCAAGGTACATTACAGAGTAGGAGGTCAAGAAAGGAGATTAAGATTGTAATTCACATGGTTACTTATGAAAACTGTAGGATAAAACAGACAACTGATTTGAAGAAAAGGGACTATTCTTTGGTTAATCTGTGATATTATAAATTCTCCTGTGTAAATTCAAAAAGATTTGAAGGTGTTTGAAATGTTTTCTCAATTAGACTGAAAAGAATCTACCAGGACGAGCTGCAAGGTGCAATGGTTGGGCTATCTTTAATCGACTTTTCAAATCCTCCCACCTCCTCTGGTCTACAGTCAATAAGGCAGTGCCCTAAAAAAGAATCAGACCAGAACATGAATTCACAGATCAGTACACGATGAAATACATTTTTCATCTCAATTAAGATTAGTTGGATCACTGTACACGAATGCTTTGCCAATCGATATATACAATAAATTTTAATTATAGTGCAAAGTAAACTAAATATAAAGATCCAATGGAAAAACACAAGGGTGTGATAGACTTCCTAAAGTGATGCATTTTTTTTCATTACATTATGCAGCATCAGAATGGTAGCAATAACTTTGACATTTGATCATTGATGGGTCTAAGAGCTAAGAGAACTGATTGTGCCACGGGTTTTATGAAACAGAATGAAATCAATTCCTTATCTTGCCATTTTATTTAGTTTGGAAACCATAGAGGTTGAGCCAGGAAGGGAGTTCCTAAATAGCAGCCACCAAAATTACCTTATTTTCATTGAAATTAGCAATGACGACTCCAACGAAGAGAGTCAGTCCAATCATGCAGCCAAGGAACACAAAGACATGGATGTAGATGCCGTGAATCTGGAGAGAGACAGTTCAGAGTTAGATACAGTGACATGGGCTTTGTGTTAACAATAACAGTGAGGCTATCAGCACTCATTATTAAGAAGTAAATCGAACACAAATTCCAGAATCTGTACACTTACAGTTAAAGACAGAAATCAGGAAGTTGCTTTCCAGTTTGACTGGATCTACCACAGTTTTGCTGTAGTGGTACCTCCTTGGTAGATGGATTATGGGTGTGGATCTTTCAACTAGTTACCTAGTAACTGTGCCAGAGAAAGTTGGGGCTGATACAATTAAGCATGAATAATTTTAGCTGTGTAGCAAGTCTTAATTAATGCCAAAACAGACTCTCTGGCCCTGAAAATATAACTTAATAGGAATGGCATCTCATACCTTCTGAATATAAGTATTTTACACTATTAAAACAAATTAAATGCTCTAATTTTTTTTAACCCTTGTATTTCTTTTGCTTAATGTCATCTATCTTTCCCTCTCTTTACTTCACTTTGTGTTCCTGATTTAAAAGGTTCAGTGTTGCATGCCTTGCTTGTACATGCAACAGATATTGTGTAGAGGGCGTCGCATTGAACAGGAACACTGAATGTCATAAATTGCTAATCAAAAGCGCACAAAGTTGAGACAGTTGCTGATGTAATGTGTCGGGAACAATGTTCCTTTGCCATTCATAAATTCTGGGCAGATGAGCCAAAAGAACACAGCAAATAGGAGCAGGAGTAGACTGCATGGCCCCCAAGCTAGCTCTGCTATTCAACATTATCCTGGTTGATCTTCGATCTCAATTTCATTTTCCCACCCCATCCTCATATCATTTGATTCCTTATTATCAAAAAATCCCTCAATCTCAACCTTGAATATACTCAACAACTGAGCATTAACAGTTTTCTGGTGCAGGAAATCCCAAAGATTCACATTCCTTTGTATGAAGAAATGTCTCCTTTTCTAGTCTTACACGCTGACCCCTTAACCTGAAAGTCTGGGCTCTCCACCTAGTGGAAAAAGCCTGGCAGCATCCACTTTGTGGTGCCGCTTAGAATCTTAAACATTTCCTTGAGATCACCACTTATTCGCATAAATGCGAATGAGACACATTCTAAACAACCTCTAATCAAATGATAAACCCCTCTCTAATTATTTCAGAGCCGCTTTCCCCTCCTCCATTTCTGAAGAAGGATCCCGACCCGAAACGTCAACTTTCCTGCTCCTCTGATGCTGCCTGGCCAGCTGTGTTCCTCCAGCTCCACACTGTGTTATCTCTGACTCCAGCACCAGTAGTTCTTACTATCTCTGACCCTCATGTCCCATCAGTTTAGTGAACCTTCAATCACCATCTTGAAGGCACATAACTTCTTTAGATGGGGAGACCAACCTGAACCAAATTCTCCAGGTGTGGTTCCACAAAAGCCCTATACAACTGTTGTAAGACCTCCTCGCACTTGTCCTGAAACCCCACTTATTTTCCTTCTTTCTTAACACAATTACTTTGAAATGTTAGAAATATATGCTGCAGTGCATTCTTACTGGGCCCACTCGGTGAATGATGACATCCCTAACCTCCACCCAGCCTTTTAATGACAGCACTTCGAATAGAGCCAGCAGTGCACTTCCAACATTGTCAAAATTGAAATTACGTGGGTTGGCCCTGGAAAACACAGAGACATTATTATTATAAATCCATGATCTAATTATCAAGAAATTATCCTGACTCTTTAAATAGTAACTGGCATTGATATAATAAAACATCTGAAGCTACTTCAGAGATGTTTACGATATGTTAACAACACTTGCTGTGAACTGGGATATAGAAAGCAAGAGTCTTAGACAAGCTTGTGTTAATGGAGAGTGGAAAATTAGAGACCGGCTAGGAGCCTGGAGGTAACGAAGGTAAGGAAGAGTGTTTCAGCAGCAGTTGAGCTGACGGAGAAGAGGAGAGGAGATGGCTGATGGATGGAGGTGAATTGACGGAGATGATGTTGGGTTAGAGGCTTAAGTCATGGTCAAGTAAGACGGTAATATGTGAATGGTCTGGTTCAGCCTCATACAGCGGCCAAGGAGAATGGTGGCATTGTTAGCGAGTAAACAAAGATTGTTGCAGGACCCAACTAGCAATGGTTGACAGCTGTTGCAGTGTATCGATACGGTACCAAGAGGATATTTTAGTGCCAATCATGAATTTCAAGTTAGTAGAAGACTTCAACAGCAACTTGTCTTTCCTTGGCACTTTTGCCATTGTAAACCATTCCAAAGGTGCATCACAGGACTTTATAAGGAGATCTATACACAAATGCACTAAGATTCAGTCAATGAAATAGGTTTTAAGAATACACAACAAGGAAGAGAGACTGACAGAAAGACAGAGAGATTTAGGGCTGGGGTTCTAGACATTAGGACACAGAAAGCTGAAGACATGATTGTCAATGATTGAGCAATTAACACTGGGGATGCTCACGATGTCAGAATTGGAGAAACGTGGATATCTTGGAGATTCTCTGTATGGCTACATGTGGAGGGATTTGAAAATGAGGATAAAAATTCAGTACTCCACCAATGAGATAGAGACCAGATCATCTTTCTCAGTGTGGGCTGATTGAGGGATAAACGTTGGCTAGGACACCAGTAGGAAATTCCCTGTTCCTTTTCAAAGAGTGCTACGGAAACATCTGCTTCCACCTGAAAGGGGAGACTGGGACTTGGATTAACATTTCATTCAAAAGAAGCCATCTCTGACGGGGGGACACTCCCTCAGCACCGCACTTCACGTTAACTTTGATTTTGTGTTCAAGTGCCTAAAGTGAAACTCGAACCCACATCTTTTGACTCAGAGGTCACCATAAGCAGTTGCAACCTGCCCCAGTCAGTTATAACCCGGCAGGGCCAATATATAAAGAATCAAGGGCTGAATCAATCTTGATTAACTCCATGGCAAGGTATTCCCACAATCAGTGATGTATTTTAACATTTGTCTAATCGAAGAGTAGCTGAAGCAAAGACAAAATCTTGTACTTTTTCTGACATTCACAATAACCAAGGCCTCAGGATCAGCAGTGCATGAGTTCAGTTAAATGCACCTGGAGAAACATCAATGGCTCTACTCTAATCCCTCAGCTTCTCCAAGTTATTTTAAACTGTACCTGTCGGGTCAAATTTTAATCATAATCCGCTGTCAGCTGTCTAGCTAATGATCCAGGATTGCTCCTCTCAGAATATTCCTCAAGAGAATTTGTTGATCACAAGCTAATCCTAATATTTCTTCACGTTCTGCAAATCATTCCTTACCTGGGAAGGGTGGTCCTTTGCCAGGTGTCATGCACATCAGAAAGTGATTTGCGAAGGTGGGAGTATTCATTTTATAACAAAAAACAACAGGAAGGAGATTCAGTTGAGGCATGTGAAGTTATAAAAATGTTTTTGTACAGTGAATATGGCAGGTGGGGAGCCAAAGGATACAGATTTAAGCAAAAGAATGACAGGAGACAACAAACACAAATTAACACAGAATTATATGGTATTTGGGGCACAGAAACGGGCCATTTGATCCAGCTGCTTGGTGTTGGTGTTTGTGCTTTAAATGAGCTGCTTCCCACCCTTCTCAATCTCACCTTCCTAACATCACCTCCAATTTGTTTCTCCCTGTTTATTTAGCTTCCCCTTAAATGTATCTACACTACACTATTGACTACCATGGGAGGGCGGTGGTGTAGTAGTCATGTCACTGTACTAGGGTGATCTAGATCCTCAGGCCAATGATCTGAGGACATGGGTTTGAATCCCCACTCAGCAGATGGGGTAATTTAAATTCAGTTAAGATCTGAAATAAAAGCTTGTCTAAGGTGTCCATATGGCCACTGTGCTGATTCATTAATGCCCTTTAGGGAAGGAGATCTGCCCTCCTTGCCTGCCCTACATATAACTCCAGACCCACAGCAATGTGGCTGACTGCTCTCTCAGCAATTAGGAATGAGCAATAAATCACAGAATCCCTACAGTGTGGATGCAGACCATTCGGCCCATTGAGTCTACACCAACCCTCTGAACAGGTTCCCATCAGACCCACCCCCTTACCTTATCCCCGCATTTCTCATGGCTAATCCAGCTAACCTGCACATCTTTGGAATGTGGGAGGAAACCCATGCAGACACTGGGAGAATGTTGACCTGATGGACCATAGTGCAAGATCTTTATCATCCAGCAACATTCTCTCACGAAGGTATTCATGTTAGCTAACTCCACCACGGCCTCAGCTCACTGGCTGCTAAAACCCTCATCCGGGATCCCTCCAGACACAACTCCTGGCTTGCCTCCTATTTACCGCCTACTGTAAACTTCAGCTAATCCAGAACGCTATTACCTGTATCAGTACATAGTGAGAGTTGGCAGATAATGCTATCACATGAATAGCATATCCATGCCAGATCCCATCACCTGAACATTGAGGCAAGGACACACCCAGCAGGGGATACCAGTTCGTGATGAACATTGGGAATTTTGGCTGATTGCCACTTCCTCTCCAGCTATCTCTGGAAAAAGCTGTGATCAAACATCTGCACACTTTGGCTTCTGGTCGAATAAAGATTACACGGGTAGTGAAGAGTGAAAAACATTCACAATGTTGAAGTTTGAATGGATCATAATGATCAAGAAAAGAACTGAACAGGTTAGGCATCTTTACTGGACTTCAAAGAGATGGCTGGAGGATGATGGAATACAGGCCTGATACAGATGATGCTTCCACTTGAGAGCAAGTCCAAAGTTTAAGTATAGTGTGCTCACTAATAAATCAACTCAGAGTTTCAGGAGAAACTTCTTCTTCAAATTCTTCAGTGGTAAGAAAGAAAAACTTCTAAGTACCTGAGATGAACAAGATGGTTGTATTAAGGTGAAGTTAAATCCAGGAGGAAGAGATGGATATGACGATTGGGTGAGATGATATAGAGAGGGAGGGGGTTCATATGAAGCATCAACATCTGAATTGATGAGTTGGACCATGAGTTGCTGAAGTACAAAAGATTAATCTTAAAAAAACTTAAGTAAGTAACATTTTACTGCTCAGTGCCTCACAGACTATATAGTGGCATCAATTACCGTGTTTGTAGGATTATCTACTCAAGAATTATATACTGCACCTTGTCACTACTTGGAACACAACCTACGCAGGTCTTTGCATTCATCCAGTGATGAACTCTTAAACATCTCCTATTTCTATTGCTCTACTATTGGTGGCTGTATCTTCAGTTGTCTAGACCCTAAGCTCTGGAATTCCCTTCCTAAACCTGCGCACCTCTCTTTCTTCCTTTAAGATATTACTGAAAACTTCCTTCATTCAATAAGTTTATAGTCTCTGCCCTAAGACCCTAAGACCTCCTTATGTGGTTCAAAGTCAAATTTTGCCTGATAGCACACCTGAGAAGCACTTTGGGATGTTTTACATTACAGGCGCCTTATCCATTTGTTGTGTTTGATCATGCAGAGTACTGCAGGGATAGGAACAGAGTGTGAGTGGGCAGAATTTCATAAAAAAAGGAATAATGTTAGGGCTGGCATTTCAGATGTCATTGCACATTTCCCATGGCCAACAAGACAGCATTTCCAGATCCTTCAAGTGGAACATATGTCTATCCTTCCACCAGAGTCAGTACTCCACACAGAAGCCAAATAGGGGAGAAGAAAGTACGTCAGAGACATTTTTTCAATTGGCTTATTGAAATGCCTTATAATCTGGAGCAGAGAAGGTTACAGGCTTTGATACAGTAAATAGGAAGCTTCTTCCACCAACAGCAAGGTTGGTAATTAGAGGGTACTAGAGAGATTTAAGAGTTTTGGAAAAAGAGTCAGGGGGAGGATAGAAACATTTTGCTGCATCGAGTTGTGATCTGGAATGTACTGCCTGACAGGGTGACAGAAAGAAGTAACTTTCAAAAGAGATAAACACTTGAAGGGAAAGATTATTTTGCAGGGCTGTGGGGAAAGTGCAAGGCGACTAATTGTTTTGGTCTTTTGAAGAGTTAGCATCGGCAGGATGGACAGGTAGGCCTCCATCAGTGCTATCTGATTCTGTGCTTTAAAGGAGATTGATGTCTAGTCAGCGACATAATTGTTCTTCAAAAAGTGGAAAGTTCATTGTGACTGCCTGGAAGATTTAATGAACGAGGTAAAACCAACAATTTTGTTTTAAGGAGATGAGGTGGTGTATGGATGAGGGTGTGCAGCAGATGCAGTCTACCTGGATTTCAGTAAGGCTCTTACAAGGTTATGCATTAGCAGACTGGTCAAATAAGTAGGAAACCATGGAATCTAGGGTAATTTGATAAATTGGATCCAAAAAATGGTTTAGTGGCAGGAGCTGGAGGTGAAGGTCAAAGGTTGATTTTATCATTGGAAGCCTGTGTCCAGTTGCCAAGGAGGTTTTGATGAATGTGTACAAGATGCTAGATAAGCCACAACCAGAGTACTGAGTGCAGTACTGGTCATGACACTGTATGCAATAGAGAGGGTGCAGAGGAGATTCACCAGGATGTTGCCTCGGCTGGAGCTTTTCAACAATGAAGAGAGACTAGAGAAGCTGGGGTTGTTTTCTGTACAGCAGAGAAAGCCAGGAGGTGGAGGGGGAAAACCTGATTGACATGTACACAATGATTAGGGGCATAGAGAGGGTAGATAGAAGAAACATTTTCCCTCAGTTGTGGGATCAATAACCAGGGGCACAGATTTAAGATAAAGGGCAGGAAGTTTCGAGGGGATTCTTTTTTTCACCCAGAAGGTGGTGGGTATTTGGAACTTGCTGCTCGAAAGGATGTTAGAGACAGGAACCCTCAAACATTTAAGTAGTACTTTGACGAGCACTTAAAACATCATAGCATAGAAGACTACAGCCCAATTGCTGGGAAATGGGACTACAGAAGATGGATGTTTTATGCCTAGTATGGACATGAGGGGCTGAAGAGCCTCCTTCCATGCTGTAAGAGTCAATGATAGAAGTTCCAATTAAAGTCTGCATTAGCAAATTCCCTGCTGTGTGGATAGCACTTACCAAATTGACCTTTTTATTCAAGCATTGCTATGTCAATGCCATTTCCGGATGCAATTTATTTATTTTGTTTTTTTCTTGGAACTTACCAAACTCGAGGCACCCAAAAGCCTGGCTTTTTCTCACCCGCTTTTAACTTCAGATTGAGATCCTTTGAGACGCTGACATTGATCCTGAACATGCCATGACAAAGTTCCTAAAACCCACAAAATGCCACAAGAACCATTTGCAAGACGTTTGATTATTTACTTTCAAAATTGTAAAGAAAAGTTTAAAACCAGATAAAACAATGGAGGTAGGTAATGTTAAAATAAAATAAAGAACTGCAGATGCTGAAGGTCTGAAACAAACAGAGAAATTGCTGGAGAAACTCAGCAGGTCTGGCAGCATCTGTGGAGAGAAGCAGAGTTAACGCTTTGGGTCCAATGACCCTTCTTCAGAAATGATAGTAGCTAGGGCACAGTGGTATATAGGCTGATGAGAGGGCGGTGGGGGAGGGGGGGTTATGGGTGGTTTGATGGATGAAGGAGTGATCGAATGGAGGCCAGAGAGAGAGAGAGAGAAAGACAGTTAGGCAGACAAAGGGATGGTTGGTACTAAGCCAGGGAGGAAGCAAAGCTAATAATGGGGACCATGCGTAGATGAAAATGTGTTGCCTGTGCTGAAAGCAGCCCATGTGATGACAGAGCCTGGGGTGTGGTGGTGGGTAAAGTGTGTGGAAGGAGGTGTCCAGGCCCTAAAGTATTGAACTCGATATTGCGTCCTGAAGGCTGCCGGGTTCCCAAGTGGAAAATGAGGTATTGTTATTCCAGCTTGCGCTGAGTTTCGCTGGAGCACTGCAGCAAGCTACAGACAGAGATGTTGGCCAGGGAACAGGGTGATGTGTTGAAGCGGCAGGCAACCGGAAGTTCAAGGTCTTTTTTACTGATATCATACAGTCCGTAAAAATGTCTCCTAACTTCCGGTTGCCCTGCCACTTGCCTGCTCTGTCATCACATGGGCTGCTTTCAGCACAGCCAACACACTTTCACCTACGTATGGTCCCCATTTTTAACTCTTCTTCCTCCCTTGATTAGTATCATGCATCTCTTTGTCTGCCTACCTGTCTTTCTCTCTCTCTCTCTGGACTCCATCTCTACCCATTCGTTCACTCCTTCCTCCTCTTCCCCACCCTCTGTCATCAGCATAAATACCACCTTTTCCCAGCTACTATCTGTTCTGAAAAAGGGTCACTGGACTCAAAGCATTAACTCTGCTTCTCTCCACATGCTGCCAGACCTGCTGAGTTTTGCCAGCAATTTCTGTTTTCATTTGAGGTATGTAATAGCTTTAAAAAAGACCATTCAGGTATTATTCATTTCAAAAATATCCTTTCTCCCAAACATAAAATGATAGAAACGGTTCCCAAAGTTGAAAGTTGGGTTGTTCATGTAAACACAATTTGCCTGCGAGAAGCGACGGGCACTGTAATGTGCTGGTGGTGTGACAGTATCTGCCAGATATTGCAGTGGGGTTTGAGTTCAGGGCCAGAGGACAGAATCTAAAAATTGGAGCCAGATTTTTAAGAATAAAATTGGGTGCATTTCCTCACACAAAGAGTAGTGGAGGTTTGGGACTCTCTTCCACAAATTGCAACGGATACTGGATCAATGGTCAAAATGTAAATCTGAGATCTGAGACCCTTGTTGCCAAAGGTATGAATAAATATGGGCCAAAGGTGGATATCTGGAGTTAGTTCACAGATCAGCTACGATCTCACACGAAATAGAAGTAGGAATAGGCCATTCAGCTCATAGACCCTGCTCCAGTCCTTTCAATAAGATGATAGCTGATCTGATTATGGCTTTAACAGTAATTTCTTGCCTGTCCCTCATTATTCTTCACTCCCTTGTTGTTCGAAAAACATGTCTAACTCAGCCTTGAATATATTCAATGATGTAGCCTCAATGGCTTTCTAGGGAAGAGCATTCCAAACTATCAACCTCTGAAAGAAAAAAAATTCTCATCTCTGTTTTATGAGACCACCCATCCCGTTATCTTTAAATTGTGAATCCTCATTCTAGATTCCTCCACAAGTGGAAACATCCTCTTAGCATCTACCCTGTCAAGCCCTCTCAGAATCTTACATTTCAATAATATAACCTCTCATTCTTCTAAAATTCCAATAAATTTGGCTCAACCTGTTCAATTCTTCCTCATAAGACAGCTCTGAATCAGCCTAGCAAACAGTCTCTGAACTGTTTCAAATTTAAGTATATCCCCCTTTAAGTACGGAGACCAAAACTGTTGTAATCTCACCAATATCCCATACGACTGCAGCAAGACTTCCCTGCTTTTGTATTCCATCCCCTGTAACAAACACCAACAATCTGCCTACCTCATTAAGTGTTGTACTTGCATGCTAATTTTTTTGATGCATGTATAGACACCCAAATACAGCATTCTGCACTCTCCCACCATTTAAAACATATTTTGCTCCTTCTATTATTCTTGTCGAAATGGATAACCTCAAATTTCCCACATTATACTCCATCTGCCAAATGCTTGTCTACTCATTTAACTCAGCAATATCTCAGCAGCTAGTGGAATGTATTTGGTGATCTGTTTCTGTGTTCCTAGGTAAGCGTAAACATCATATTTGCTACTTTAGGCTTTGCTCCATGCAACTTGTTATCTTACAGCATTTATAGGGAATTAGAAGTGTTTAACATAAAAGATAAGTGGACCTTTCCTAACTATTGTCTGTACTTGGATTCAGTGCACCCAAATGGAGGTGCAAACCGGCGCAAAAAACAAAAATAGTTACGTTTAAGATGTTACAAACAGCAACATTGACATTGAGGTGAATACACTTGACTTTCAATTCTGATGAAAAACCCTTGACCTGAAATGTTAACTTTTTTTCTTCCATTGTTGTCTCCTGAACTGTTGAATATTTCCAGCGCTATTAGTTCTTGTTGCATGTGATTACTTGTTCAGGTACAATGGGTAAATGGCTTCCTCCTGCCTGTATCAATCTAGAACTGACCACTAGTTTCAAAGTCGATATTTTAAAAGGTGGGGATTGGATAGAAATAAATAAGCCATGAACCTACCATGAGAAAATCAGTAACTCACATAAAAAAAATTGTCATCAATATCATGGCTTAATCATTAAAAAGAAATATTTATGGCTGATACAACGAAGTTTTAAAAGGACATTATAACATATAACCATCATTACATAACAGAAGTTTTGTGACAGAGGAATTAAGTTTGGTTGATATATTTTTACAAAAGAAGAGGCACAAACCAGCTCTCCATCTCTGAAAGGCATCACCAAGGAAGGTTGTAGAAATTATCCAAACAAGGGGAAGCCACAAAGTCATGAGATGAGGTGAGAATACTTGGCAAGGAATGAATATAGAGTGTTTTAGCCTGGATCAGTGACAAAGCAATTACATTCACTGAAACTCCAAGAAGCAGATGGGACTCAGTGGGGCTCCCCTTTGCTAATGCTAGTGTGGCATGTCTATTCCTGTTCTTCATTAATTAAAAGGGATGTCTTTCTGGGCTTCACTCAAACATCAGCTTTTTGAGAAGTAAGATGGTAATTAATGAGTGACATAGCACACAGCACTAAAGACATCCCAGAGATTCACAATGGGGCACATTGCAAATTGGCTAGTCCTGGAAGTTTCAATTCACTGACTTGAAAAGTTATACATTTCAACAAGTTTAAAGAGTACCGTAGACAATTAGCCAATTGAAGCATCAAAAAAAGAGAAAGATCGTAACTAAATATTAAACATTTTTTTGACTCGCAACAAGCTTAATAGATGATAGCTTGAATACAAACTGCCAGCGTCTGCTTAAACTCCATGTTTTAATCAACTGAAAAGAAATAGCTTCAAAGATTTTATTTTGCCATATCATGCCCATGGGAAACAAACTTGATGAGCTCAAACAAATTCAAAGTCAATGAAGAAAGATGGACTTAGATTATCAGTTTAATGATGATAAATCTCTTACCTGTCGGGTGATGTGTGGGTCATTGCACTTTGCAAGTTTTCCAGCAAAAAGCTGCACACCAAAGCTTGCAAAAACAAGCATCAGCGTCAGCAGAAGGATTGAAACCTGCAGGAAGAGAAGTTTTCCAGTGGACCAAAAAGTGAATTTCATGGTTTCAAAGTCAGCTCAGTATCAAACCTAACTTTCACAGTGAATTGGTTAACATTTATATTGAATTAAATCAGATACACAGCATGTTCAGCACAACGAGTCCATGCTGGTCTTTTACTCCACTTGCGCTTCCTTCATCTTGTCTCAGTTAAATCTACCATAAGATCCTTCACTTCTGCCCTGCTCATGCGCTTCTCTAGTTGCCCTTAAATGCATCTACAACATTCACTTCAAGCATTCCCTGTGCTGATGGGTTCCACATTCTTACCACTCACGTATTCAAAATTTTTCTCCTGAATTCTCAGTTGGATTTCTTGGTGACTGTCTCACATTGCATGTGATTACTTGTTCAGGTACAATGGGTAAATGGCTTCCTCCTGCCTGTATCAATCTAGAACTGACTACTAGTTTCAAAGTTGATATTTTAAAAGGTGGGGATTGGATAGAAATAAATAAGCCATGAACCTACCATGAAAGAACCAGTAACTCACATAAAAACGAAAACATTGTCATCAATATCATGGCTTAATCATTAAAAAGAAATATTTATGGCTGATAAAAAGAAGTTTCACCATCACTACATAACAGAAGTTTTGTGACAGAGGAATTAAGTTTGGTTGATATATTTTTACAAAAGAAGAAGCACAAACCGGCTCTCCATCTCTGAAAGGCATCACCGAGGAAGGTTGTAGAAATTATCCAAACAAGGGGAAGCCTTTAGTTATGCTTTCCCCAAAACCGGAAACATTCTCTCTGTATTCACTCTATCAAAGCTTTTCAGCATTTTAAAGGCTCCTATCAGGTCACTCTCACTTAAAAAGATTTGCAGATCTATGAGAAAGAGGAGGGAGGCAGTGGAACTTCTTGAATGGCAAAGAGCTTGCACAGGTACAATGGAGCCAATGGCCTCCTTGTATGCAGTAAAAACATATCAGATAGGGCTAGAAGTAGCATATTTGGCCCTTCAAGCCCACTCCATCATTCAATGAGATTACAGCTTAATTCCACTTCCCTGCGCATTCTCCATATTCCTTGATTCTCTTGGTGTCCAAACATATATAGATCTCAGTCTTGAATAGACAGAATGACTGAGCATTCACAACTCTCTGGGATTGAAAATTCCAACAATTCATCACCCTCCGAATGAAGCAAGTTCTCCTCATCTCTATCTTAAATCTCAACCTTTCATCCTGAGTTTGGCTATGACTAAGAATCTGAATTCCCTAGTTCTAGATACTCCAGTCAGGAGGAACAATACCTCTGCATCTACACCGTCAAGCTCTCTCAGAGTTTCGTATCTTTCAATGGGATCACATCAGAGGTACCATTCTGTAAGCTGGGATTCTGATATACGACTCTTCTTACTGTTTGCAAAAGACTCAAAGACAACCAGAAATAAAAGAGACAGACGACTCCTTGAGATTTCTTGTCCTGGATGTTCGATTGTGACATTTCTCGGGAATCATGAGCTTAGATTTTGCTTGACCCTCTTATGTTTGAAGAGGGGGCGGGGGCATGTAAAACAGGACAATGCCCCAGTTCACCACCTTCCCAGCCGACCCAAGCTCACCTCTGTAACATAACAGGTGGGCTGCTGGGTGCCACAACATTAGCTTTTAAATGGACAATTAAGGCCAATCAGCTTGTTTCCAAATAAAAAACCAAGAGAACTGCGGATGCTGTAAATCAGGAACAAAAACAAAGTTGCTGGAAAAGCTCAGCAGGTCTGGCAGCATCTGTGAAGGAGAAAA